CTCTGGACATTTTGCTTGTGCCATATTTCTCTTTAGACCTGTAATGGCTCCCTGTATTATGGTATCTGTTTTCTTGCTCTCCTCTATTCTTCCCCTGACTCCATCTTCCTGCTCTCTCCTGTCCTCCTCTCCCCTCCTCTTCTCCCTTCTCTTTCTTCTATCTCCTGCTCCCCTCCTCCCTTGCTCCCAATTAGCTCAGGAGATCTTGTCCCTTTCCCCTTCACTTGGGGACCATGTATGTCTATCTCTCTTAGGGTTCTCCTTGTTTCTTAGTTTCTCTGGTGGTGTGGATTGCAGGCTGGTATTCCTTTGCTCTAAGTCTAAAATTCATATAAGAGTGAGTAAATACCATTTTTGTCTTTTCGTGACTGGGTTACTTCACTCAGGGTGGTTTCTTCTAGTTCCATCCATTTGCCTACAAATTTCAAGATTACATTGTGGGTTTTTTTGCCCTGAGTAGTACTCTATTGTGTAATTGTACCACATTTTCTCCATCCATTCTTCAGTTGAGGGACATCTAGGTGGCCTCCGGGTTCTGGCTATTACAAATAATGCCTCTATGAACATGGTTGGACAGATGTTCTTGTTGTATGAATGTGCATCTTTTAGGTATATGCCTATGAGTGGAATTACTCCATCTTGTGGTACACTGATTCCCATTTTCCTGAGGAACTGCCATACTGATTTCCAAAGTAGCTGTATGAGTTTGCACACCAACCAGTAGTGAAGCAGTGTTCCCTTTTCTCCACATCCTTTCCAGCATAAACTTTCATTGGTGTTTTTGATTTTAGCCATTCTGAAAGGAGTGAGATGGTATCTCAGAGTTGTTTTGATTTGTATTTACCTAATGTTGAGCACTTTCTTATGTGTCTCCCAGCAATTTTAGATTCCTCTATTGAAATTTCTCTGTTTAGTTCAATACCCCACTTTTTGATTGGCTCCTTTGGTGTTTTGGAGACTTGCTTCTTGAGTTCTTTATAAATTTTGGAGATCAACCCTCTGTCAGATGTGGGGTTGGTGAATAGCTTTTCCCATTCTGTTGGCTGCCATTTTGTCTTGTTGACTGTGTCCTTTGCCTTTCAAAAGCTTCTATTTCAGGAGGTCCCATTTATTAATTGTTGATCTCAGTGTCTGTGTTACTGGTGTTATGTTCAGTAAGTGGTCTCCTGTACCAATTCATTCAAGGGTATCCCCTACCTTCTCTTCTAAGAGGTTCAGTGTGGCACCATTTGTTGAAGATATTTTCTTTTTCCATTGTATAATTTTAGGTTCTTTGTCAAAAATCACATGTTCATAGGTATGGGAGCTAATATCAGGGTCTTCAATTCAATTTCATTGGTCTACCTGTCTATTTTTGTGCCAATACCAAGCTGTTTTCAGGACTATAGATCTATAATAGAGCTTGAAGTCAGGGATGCTGATGCCTCTGGACGTTCCTTTATTGTACAGGGTTGTTTTGGCTATCCTGGGTCTTTGATTTTTTTTTATATAAAGTTGATAATTGTTCTTTCAAGGTCTGTGAAGAATTGTGCTGGAATTTGATGATGATTGCACTGAATCTGTAGATTGCTTTTGGCAAGATTTTCATTTTTACTATATTGATCTTACCCATGCAAGATCGTGCTAAATCTTTCCATTTTCTGGTATCTTCTTTAATTTCCTTCTTTAAAGACCTGGGTATACAGGTCTTTCACTTGTTTGGGTTAGTGGTACCTCAAGGAATTTTATGTTGTTTGTGATGTTTCTCTGATTTCCTTCTCAGCCCATGTATCATCTGTATATAGTTGGGCTCCTAATTTTTTTGAGTTGATCTTGTATCCTGCCACTTTGCTGAAGGTGTTTATCAGCTCTAGGAGTTCCCTGGTAGAGTTTTTCAGGTCACTTATGTAAACTATCATATCATCTGCAAATAGTGAATGTTTGACTTCTTTTACAACTTGAATCTCCTTGATCTCCTTTTGTTGTCTTATTGATCTAGCTAGCACTTCAAGTACAATATTGAATAGTTATGGAGAGAGGGGACAACCGTGTCTTGTTCCTGATTTTAGAGGAATCGCATTGAGTTTATCTCCATTTAATTTATTATTGACTGTCAGTTTGCTATATTTTGCCTTTATTATGTTTAAATATGTTCCTGTTATCCCTGATCTCTCCAAGACCTTTATCGTGAAGGGGTGTTGGATTTTGTCAAAGGCTTTTTCAGCTTCTAGTGAGATGATCATGTGTTTTTTTCTTTTTCAGATTGTTTATATGGTGAATTACGTTGGTGGATTTTCATATGTTGAACCATCCATGCATCCCTGGGATGAAGCATACTTGATCATGGTAGATGATTTTTCTGATGTGTTATTGGATTTGATTTGCCAGTATTTTATTGTGTAATTTTTTATTGTCTGTTTCAGCTTTCAACCCTTGCAGTGTTTTAGTTGTTTTTTGCAATTTTTGCTTTGTCTTTTCCTCCATTTCTTTAATTTTTGGTTTGTTTTTTCTTTCATTTCTTTAAGGGTTTTTTTTCATATCCTCTTTGAAGGATTCTATAATTTTCATGAAGTTGTTTTTAAGGACACTTTCTTCTGCTTCAACTGTGCTGGGATTTTCAGGTCTTGCTGGTATAGTTTCTCTAGACTCTGGCAGTGTCATATTGGTTTTTCTGTTGCTGGGTGTGTTTTTATATTGTTTCTTTGAGATCTCTTCTTCCATTAGGTCCAGAAGGAGTCTCTTCCTCTCCTGGTGGCTATGGGACCAAGGTTCCCTGCCAGTGGGTCCAAGCAGGTCCAATACTCTGGTGGCTCTCCTCTTCTTGTGGATAGAGGCAGTCCTAGTACTGGGGCCTTGGCAATCTCAGGGTGGGCTGGACCCCATCAGGATGGGATCTGCAGTGAGTAGTCCCCAGGCCTCAGCTGACTCCAAGCAAAGCACTGAAGGTGGGACTGAAACAGGCCCAGGCTTTCCTAGTCCCATGGGTAGAGAAAGGGACTAGGATGCTGGCAGTCTCTGAGTGGGGTGGATCCTGCCAGGATGGGACCCTAAGTGCACAGTCTCCAGGCCTCAGGTGGTTCTCGCAAGGCATTGGAAAGGTTGGCCCAACATAGGCACTTTTTATGACAGTGAAATATGTCTGCTCCTGGCAGCACCAATCTACTTAAGAGAAGATGATGAGCATCAAAGAAACTCACATGGAGTTTGCTTTCTTTGTGGTAAAGGTAAGCCACTGGACAAGAAAGTGCAGTTGCCTCAACTGCTGACAAAGTGCTGTCCAAGTTGGACAAACAGGACACAAAAAAGAGTGACTACAAAACCTTGCCAAGGCAAGGCAGAATAGCCCTTAGGGGAATCCTGCTTCACAAAAAAGTCTATCAGAGACTTATAGGCAGAAGATACATGCCCCAACATTGCAGAAGAACCTTGGGTGACTGTCCAGGTAGCCAGCTGTTTCTGTTATTTCTCACATTTTTGGAAGCCTCTTGCTCGCACTCCCTGCTTACTCAGTTAATATTATTTCCTTCTAGGGTCTCTGAGGGAGTTGAAGACTAGATAGTTATAGTTTTTATTGTCTTCCAGACTCAGAAAAGACATTCACTAAAGATATGTAAAGTGTAAAAGGTTGAGAGACATTAAAAGATAATTTGATAATGCAAATTAGAATAGAATATTAATTGGTACAAGACTTTGAAGTCAACCAAGATAGAATAATGAAGTATTTTCTGAATTTGTCAAATGCATATGGATCAAGATATTTTCTCTGTATTTGTCATTAGACATTGTGGATGAACTTGTTGTATCTATTGTATATACTAAATGTGTATATGATTTTTCTCATGTTAGTTGTAGCCTCTTTTTGTATTAGACAAAAATTGGGTAATATATTATTTATGATTTATTGAAACCTGCCTGAGGGTTCAGAAAGAAAAGCCAGCCACAAGCCATGGAAGCCAGATGTTGGGCTTAAAAAGGATTGGATGTGAGGCCCAGTCTAACCTCCTGAGCCTGGCTAGAGTTTGGCGGCCTGCCTCTGGCCTGTAACCTCCATGTGAGAATGACTCAGCAAGGCCTGATGTAAGACTGCCCCCTGCCTAGCTACCTGCCATCTTGGTGGAATATTATTGGCCCTTATGCCTCACATCACCTTACCCTATCCTAAGATTCCCACCCCTACCTCAGCCCTATATAAATTCCTGCCTGTTGGAATAAATCGAGATGCTGCGTCAACAAGCTTCAGACTCAGTGTGTATTTTCTCCCCTGTAACTAGTTGGGGTGAGGGGTCTGAGTCATTGGCACTCACCATCCTGCTCAGCCCTGGAATGAGACTGACTGGAGCAGCCCTTCCCCTGCTCTACCTGCTGGAGGATCCAGCAGCCAGGCATGCATCTTTAACCCCAGAAGGCAGAAGCTAGGACATAGTGGTACACACCTTTAATCCTAGGACACAGGATTAAGAGGTAGAACAATCTCTCTGAGTTCAAGGCCACTGAAGATACATGAGATTGAATCAGTCTGAAAGAGTAACCGATCACATGCCTTTTTTAATCCCAGCACTAGAGGGGTATAAAAGACACAAGGAGGGTCTTCAGTATTCAGTAGGAGGCGTTGATTCACTGGCCACACTGAAAATAAGGCTCAGAGGAGGCATTCATTCTCCTGCCAAACTGAGGAGAGTCAGCAGTTTGAGACTTGGTGAAGAGCTCCTTCATGGATCATCCCTTTCAGCCTGAGCTTCAGTTTGAGGCTAGTGGCTGACTGCTTTGCTTTTCTCATCTTCAGTTTGAGGTTTGAACCACAATATCTGTCTATGAGTTCATTTATTTTCCATGTTACACTGCTATGCTCTTTTTAGTGTTGCTCAGTCTGTATAATTGCCTCTCTCTATAATTCAAAGTATGTCCTGGCATCCTACTAAGAATGTCTAATTGTTCTTCATACCTAATTAAAGGTTTGGGCTTGAGTGATTGTACCCACTATAGAATACCACGAAGAAAAAATAGAAAAGAATTACCCTTACCTCTCTGGTTCCTCAGCTTCTTCTGTCCTTTTTACTGTGTCCTTGCCTGCTAACAATTTTATCAGGCTCTCATTGCTTCCCTGTTGAGCCAGTATAAGGGGTGAAACGCCATCCTATTGGGGAAAGAAACAACAACTCAGGATTCTCAGGACTTTGTATTTCTTACAATAACTGGAAATCAGATGGAAGATACAGTGAAGCTTAGTGTCTGCTGAGGGCTCCGTGAACCACAGCCTGGGCCTTCCCACCCCACATTGCTTTTCCACCTGCTGCTCTGCCCTTGGAAAAGCCTCTGCCTACCTGGAGCTGCCCATGAACACCAGTGCTTTCTCCCCACACTCATTCAAGCATGAGCTAGCTCCCTGAGCTTTGCCTCCACCTTGGCATTTACCATGTAATTATGGAGGATGTGATTGCTCCCAGCTAAACCAAAGCTTCTTGAGGATGGAAGCTGTCTTTTACCTCTAATGCCCCAAACATCAAATAGTATTCCAAAAGAATATTTACCTTCCCAGATATGCCATCTCTCACATATATGTTATGTTAATCTGAAAGATAAACTTGAGCAGGACAGGTCCAGTATGAAATATGGAGACATATGTGTAGTCTTTATATCAGCTTTTGTGGCAAACATTCAGTGTCCTGGCCTTGACAGAATTCCAGAAACAACTACATTTCTACCAGGCAGTGGAAGAGCTCAGTAGATGCTTTCTATTTACAGTAACAGGAACCCACAGCAGACACTCTGCTCCAAATGGATCACTAAGGACAAGGTTGTAAATTAGATGGCATGGGATGCAAAGGGACTTTGGTGGCTTATTAGTAAAAGGTCCATGGGAATTTTTCCCATCACAAGAAGAGTAATATCACATTTGTAAGATCCCTTATACACATTGGACACACATCTATTTTAAATTTATTTTTAGGTCACTTCCTTTTTAGTTACTACTTAAAGTTATTTTTACTTTTAGGCAAAATACAAAAGAGAAATAAAATATAATTTTTATCAGTACAAAATCTGATAATCATCCATGTGGGTCATTTTAGCACAATGAAAACCAATAACATAACTGGGTGTGGGTGAGAATGCCATTAGCCTCAGCATTTGAAAGGCTGAGACAGAGTTCCAGGACAACCAGAGGTACACAAACACAGAGAGAGGCATGATGGAGAATATCCATAAGCCCATCATTTCAGAGATGAATGTAGGAAGACCAGTGCCATCCTCATCTTCATAAAAAGTTCAAGGCCAACGTGGACTATATGACATCCTGTTTCATAAACCAAGAAACAAAAAAGTCAGAAGGTTCCTGTCAGCATTTTCATGAGCTCTGTGGTTATATATTTACAACTGTCAGGGTAATATTGCCAGCAGTTCTCTTTATAACATTCATCCTAGAAGTAACCATGTAATCAAAGGAAAGTGTGAAATGTCATTGGGAAGGAAGGAGTTCCCATCAAACTCCATTCTTCTAGAGATGTTTTAACTTCCTGAAATCTGAGAATTCATATATGAAACTTACCTTTTCAGAGATTCTTATGTCATAGTTGTATCAGAATTTCAATGAAAATACATTTAAATATCCATGTGCAGGCTTTATTAGATTTGGTGAATCTTTGTAAAGCAAACCCAGTCCAAATAATTTGGAAATCAAAGCTGTGTGGTCTCTACCTTGTTCGTTATACTGGTATCGGCCTTGTATTCCAGAAGGATCGTTACCATTGAGATGCACTCTCTGTAAACGGCATAGTGCAGAGCTGCACTCCCATTGCTGTCAATTGCATTTGGGTCGGCACCATGTTCTAATAAAATTGCCAAACAATCTTCATGGACATACTGTGCAGCCTGTGGGTATCACATCAAGTAATACATTGGAAAGATAAGAAATTCAAGATGAACATTCCATGGATTTCACTAATTATTTGCATTTAGTTGAGAAAAAAATCATGTTTATTCTCAGCATTTACAGCAAATCCATGTCATACTGAAACTGTTGGCTATCTACCTTAATTAGCGCTGTGCTGTTGTAACTGTCACGGAGCTCAATGTCGCAATTCCATTGTAGTAGGAGGGTCACTATATCAGGATGGCCATGTGCACAGGCATAATGCAAAGGTGTTCTGTAGAAATAAGGACTTTTTAAGAATTTATATAAGACTAAGTCAAAGACACACAAGTATTCATGTAACTGTAAACATTATTATGTCAGTAAGTAATTTTCTTCTGATATATGGACAATACTTATCAGCTACCCATTATTCTATTGCCACACATAAATCCCTCAATCATAAGGTGGTGATCAAAATATACTCATCTCACAGGACATACTGGGACAATTCAACAATAACACTCATAAAGCATTTAATGGGGTTTCTACCACAAAATGCTCACTGTTAAGATGTTTTGTTTTGTTTTTTCGTTTTGGACATACTACAGAGCTCAGGCTGGTCATGAATTCACCATGTGTCTCAAATGCTTTAAACATGCAATTCTCCCACTTTAGGCAACTGGTATCTGGGACTGCAAGTGATCACACTGTGCCTGGCTTGTGATCCTATTCATAAACTCTGACCACTGTGCATTAGAAGGCTACTTCTGATTCATGGCATATTAAGCTTTGACAGGAGTTTTTAGATTTTATACAGTAGATGGGCATCACAACCCATGTGACCATGTTAAATCACACATGTATATTCTAAATGATTTTGGGAATTCTAGTCATGATATTTAAATAAATTTAAGATCTGAAAAATTGGGTAGGTAAAGGGAGTGTGATGATAAAATTATATCAAAAATATAACTCTTGATTTATATATCCTTCAGCAAAAGAATAATCAGGACTCAGAAGAGAAGGTATGGATCATTTTATTCAATACTGAGATTTACACAGTAGCATGTTTCAATTGGTAATTAATATGAGTATCTGAAACTGCTATAACTTTTCAAAATGGCTACTCTATACAATTTCCTAACTTGTGAAATATTGTTATTTGAAATAAAAGAGGCAATAGTTCAACTGACGTTGAGTCCAACTTCTTTAGAATTTCTACACAGGGCAGGAAAACATGGACACTTTAAGGATGAGTGGCATTTATAGGCAGTAAAGTAAGTGTGTTATGTAAATATAGAGCCAATGTGTGTTTGGTGAATTCGTGGGTAAAAATAATCAACTTGAGGAGTTCAACTTTATTTATATTTAATAATTGTGATCATTTAAATATGTTTAATAATGCTATTAATCCTCTTACAAATCATAAATCACAGAATGAATGAGATTGCAATTATAATTGTTTTAATCAGCAGGCTGTATGAGTTAAAGTTACATACTGTCTGTGATCATTCTCTTCCCTTAAGACAAGAAAATGACATCAACAAAGAAGTCCACAAATTTAACCACAAAACCTCTGCATTGGTATTTGTTTTTACTCCAGTGTGATTCTCTGGTCTAAAGTCAGTTTCGTGTGTGTGTGTGTGTGTGTGTGTGTGTGTGTGTGCATGCACGTGCGCGTGCGCTTGCAAGTGCCTTTGTATGTTCTGGATGAGTGATGGTAGCTAATCTTCACCATGTTTATGTTTTATTATTGGCACATCAAGACCCATAGCTGTGAGAAGTTTGTCATTTAAAGAGTTACAGAATAGATTGATTGTGATTTCGAACATGTATTTCAACACTCAGGAAGCTATGTTGATTTGTTTGAAGTGTCAGTTTGTCACAACTTAGAATCACCTGTGACCAGAACCTCAACTGAGGAATTACATAAGTCAGGTTTGCCTGTGGCATGTCTGGGGGGTATTACCTTGTTACGTGATATAGAAAGACACCGTATGGGT